TTTCACTATAATCACTTATTGAATCAGCCTACTTTTCATAGTTCACTCCGCTAGGTTGTGTGTAATGAACACGTGTTCCAAAGGTCTTCAATGGCTGTAAATTCTGTACAAAGCTTTTTCTCCTGCTTACACTTGTCCCATTCTTCTTGTCAAGTCTGGAGAATGTGAGCACACTTTATTTTACCTCTGGTAAGGGCGTCTGCTAAGAAGTGTGTTTTTGGAAGGAGTGGATTTCCTCAAAGCAGATATATATATATATATAGTTGTTAAGAGTTTTTTGAGTGTGTGTGTGTGTGTATGTATTTGTTGTCACATCTGTTATATTGTTAAACCGTTGTGCAGTCTGAGTTTAATGACCGGTCAAATCCTATTATTCTACTGCATCACAATAGTCGGTGAGTTTTAATGAGGAAACCTAAAATAGAATAAACAACTGTCCAATCCGCTTTAGCTTTTTGTTACTTCACTAGCATAATTTCAGTTAGCCATTAAGTCTACCTTGAAAAGAAGCGTATACCTGTACAAAACGAACAGCATATTTTGGATTGTTTTATTACGGTTTTTTCGCACATTTTTCCGACTATTCTTGATTTTTTTTTTACGGTGTAACTATTTCTTAATCATCTTAATTACTTTTGTGTATATGTACGAAATAATGCGTTTTTGTGTGTATGTGTTGAAGAATTTTATTAATGTAGACATCAAAATTCTTTGTTTTATTTTTGTTGAAACAAAGCGTATTTGTTACCATTTTTGTGTATAATTCCTCCAAAGAAAGTGATGTATGTGCTCTTTCTACTGAACTGTTTAAACGGTGTTTATTGATTGAATTTATGCAAATATTACTATGAACTTAAAACGTTGTGGACATTGAAGTGAATTTTGGAAATTTCTTTGTTTATATCAATATGGGGTTAAATATTTTATGAAGAATTTGGAATAACTTTTTGACAATTAAACTGCATCGTAGCAGGATTTTTGTAGGGAAACTAACCTTTTTAGATCATGATCTTTCACATAAGTAGCGTCTAAGCAAGCCAGCCAGTTGAACTTGACCATCCGAAAATTATTTGTAGAGTAGTAGTAAGCCATCACTTTGTTCTCGTGGTTTGTGTGTTTCATTAAAGTTTTTTATTTATAAATTGCCATCTAAGTATAAGTTTGATCAAATCAGAGAAGTAATAGCAGAAAGTTGGTTGATTAATTTAAAAATAATTTTTTAGCGCCACATAATTTTCGTCACTAGTCATAACATCCGTGCAACTCTTTCTAGTACGATATTCAGTTTGAAGTTTTGATATCCCTTCAGTTTTCATGCTCAGGAAGTAAGCAAACTGTTACATACGCTTAATTAATTAATTAATTAATTATCGATCAACTGGATTCCAAATAGGGTATTGATTGATGTCTTTTTTCTTCAATGGTTCGTCAATAGTAATTCACTTTATTTGCTAACATTTCCAATCCACTTTTGGAAAGAGAAACGCAACGAAACTCGATTTATCAACCACATAGAAGTTCATATACTGGGTTATGAATTACAGTTTCTCTTTATTGATAAATGGAGCAAAGTTCAAACTCATATCCTGTTAGTTATAATATGAGCATCTAGGGGACACAGATTACAATTCCACTATAAAGAAAAACATTGCAGAAATACTTTTATGACAATTCTGTATTTTGTCACTTAAATGGTAGTCTCCATGTTCTCTGAATTCTTTGTACCGTTGATATTATATATCCACTGTTTTCCTTACTATTCAGTTTCTGTATCTTAAACCTCTTTTGTATAGTGACGCATGCTTGAATGTGGTTTAGTGCAAAATTGGCGGTGAATTATTTGTCCTAACCTAGTTAATCGATACGGTTATGAATTTGAGCTAATTAACGGGAATAAGTTGTACGATTACTGTTTTGAACTATTATTTACCTAAAAATGCGGCAGTTAAAATTGGTTTCAGTCACATGAAGAGTTTACTCTTGTCAGGATTCACAAAATGCATAGTGTACGTGTGTGCATATCTTGGGTGGGAATGGTTGGACTACAGAAAACTTACTAACATATGTTATCCTTTGAAATATTCTATATCGCATTCATTGTTTACGCTTTCGTCGCTCATATTTTTCTTTGATATACTTTTAATTCGGTATAATATTATGAAGTAGTGTATTCTTTGTATGAGATTCTATGTTTTCCTTGGTCAAAGCATAAGTGAAGCCATGATTTGTAAATATTCAAATGCCGTGAATTCGCAAGACCTAGTATAATTTCGAATGAATTGTTTCTTATCTGCATGAATCTTATGTCCTTAACAGGCATGACACTGAATGCAACTTTTTGTTCTTATTTTTCTGAATTTTCTAGTTCGACAAACTAATGACTAAACAACAAACAGGCACTTCGTAAATACTAACACTGTTTCTGACAATATAATTCAACTCGTACTCTCGTAATATTCAATGGAAAGCCATGTGACCTATTCTAACAAATATTATTTCTTGAACTCTTTTATTGTAGTGATTACTATGGTAGCAAGTTGTAGAGCTTAGAGTTTATCTCTCACCCCACTAGTCGTATGATAATTTGATTGGTTGTTGTCATAGAGGAAGAGAATTTCATTGATAAAAATAGCAAAGGAATCAATAAAATTAAGTTTTCCCATTGTCCATGGATGTACAAGTTACCTACTTGGATTTCTATTCTAGGCTAATATTTAATTTTTAAAAGACTGAGTGTGTACTAAATTAATTTGCTTTGTTCTGCCTGCTAGGATAAAATTACCGAATCAGTGATTGTCTTTGTGTTGGTTAGTCTGTGGAAAATCGATTATACATAATTGTCGAATGAAGTAACTTCGATACCCATTAAAAGACAGAAAAGACGGATCAAAATTATCTAGTTGTCTTGTGGCTCACTAATATCAGGTAGAGCTTAGGGATTATAGTTCCGATCACGGAGTCTTCTAATGATCCGATTTATTTCTATCTAAGACACTAATTTTTATGAGATATGGACGTCAGGTAGCAACCAAGGAGTATTTTTTGAAGCTAACAATACACTCGTTACAAGTGTAAGGTATTTTGTATTCATTTAATCAGTATACACTAGTTAGTCAAACAGAAGTGTGAGAGTTGCACTAGATACCAAAAACACGTTTGGATATCGTCTACACTTGTAGCTTCTCGTTCATATATCTGGGGACAAATAACATATTGCTAACCAGATTATACATCTGAGGAAATTAATTTGAATTTAAGTTCCTCTATAAGTAATTTGAAAAATTCGAACTACCTAATCGCACCGCAGGGGTTAAATTTCTTGCCTGATCTTCATGGAACCCTAAAAGCGTCTTGTCTCAATCTCTAGAGCTTTTGGGTTAATTCTGTTGACATGACTGACACCCTAACAAAACAGTTTTCTAGTAGTCATTTGTTTCTGTTGGTTGTGTAATTATAGTTTATTACTGATGAATACAACTATAAATGCCGCCAGCTTTGCCCAAGTTTCCCATCAATCAAATCTTGTTTTTTTTTAAAGTAAGCTAAAATCGCAATTATATGGTGGTGCATTCCTTAGATATTCTCTGACTGGAGTATAAAGTTAGAAGGCCATTAGAAAACCAAGGAGTACATGGTAGATGTTTCGTCCCGTCTTTGGGTGTCTTCGGCAGCACGCACCCATGACTTTCAAGTTAAGCGATGAGTTCGTTGACCATTCAGTCATCAGTTCTATTTTCTGCCAATTCGTGATATGAATACGAAGCCTCTCTGAGTGTTACACCGTAATCATACAAAGCATATTTGCTTATCGAGATGGCAAAAAACGAAATGGGATATACAGTAAAATAAACAAAGGAAATAGGTAATAAGGCATGTAAAAATAAACAGAAACGTTTGTGTTCACCACACCCTTGTTTTTAAAATTAAGTATCTAAGGTCACAGTTGATGAAGGTGGGCTAAGACATAATCTGGTGTGAGTAAGTATCCTGAATAGTGTTTAGACGTCTATCCTGTGTCCTTTTCCGATAAAATGTTTTAAACAATACAAAAGTGGTTATATACCATTTGCACACCTATTAACGCTTGGGTGTTCATTAGTTTATTTAAAACCATTTTAGCAGATGTTTCACAGCTCTTCATCCAGACATAAACACATGTGGAATTTTTCACACTCATTGAGATGTGATGTTTCCGACACTATTGGTGATGGGGTCTGGGCTCTAGAATGTTCTGCCTCCCAACAAGTGTTTTGTTGCTACCATGCCTTATAATTTTTTTTCATAGTCATATTGAATGACCCTACAATGGGCCGGAGTGTTGTGTAAAGGTGGACGTATCGCATAATGGGTTTCGAAGTATTTTAGTTTCCACAGATTTCGTAATCCATCAAGATTCTATTTTTAACTTTTTGATATTTCTACTCACTTAATCTGACTGACGTATGGATACTTTGAATCCTATTTAGTGGTGATTTGATTATCATTGTTATTATTTGTATTGTGAAAATTTTATGGAAACTAGTGTATTGTTGTGTTAGAAAAAAAAATATCTTTAAGATCAATCTCTTCGTCAAGCTGTGTCTTAAACCCTACAGTTTATTTATAAGGATGGGGGAAATGTTTCTGCATCACATTGGGTGTTTCTGTTAGACCGATCTTGTACAATTGTCTTCAGTTATTATTATTACTAGTAGTAGTATTAGTATTTAGACATTGTGGTTTTCAGATTTACTGCATTTCGTACTTTGCTGGTAATCATCAGAGATAATACCGAGAAGTGGAATACGTGATACACATTTCGTCCTACCTGAGATACATTATCTAAGTGTAATTTTATGTGTAAATTACAATGCTATCGCAAAAATCCGTATGAAGCATTTGTAATTTCAGACTCTTCTTGTCTGTTAATTTGTTCAATTTCTCTGATTGGTAATTTTGTCAGTATTCCTAGGTTTATTGACATTATTTTGTTGTTTATTTTCATTCATATTATGTTATAGGATCTGATTGGTCATTTATGCAATTCGATCCAGATGATGGTTATCCAAGTCGCCCACATTCAGTAGCTGGTCGACGTTCAGATAATGAAACTGAACACCATTCGCGTTCCCCTTCAGCACATAGTGACTATAACTGTTACAGTTCCCACTGCAGTCCAGAAAGATATGTTGAACCTCGTGTGAAAACTAAAAATAATGATAAATCAATAAAGAACAAACAGTTTCCTGCCATTGTTCCTACGAACGTGATTAGTCGTGTATCATCGAAAACGGAAACACTGAAAGTTCATTCTCGAAATGGATTACGACCTGGTCACATACATCAGTCTTCGAATATAAATACAAATGGATCACGTCAGATACTAGCGCGTTGGAATGCTAGTCGGAAGCATAATAACAATCACCACACAAATCTTTGCGTGGATGCTCAACGTTCCAAATGTCTTCGCCGGGGCCCATTGATTAATCACGGTTTTCAACGTCGTCAAGTTCGTTTGGGCAACGGAGGACATGTACCTTGCCAAAGAAGTTAAAGAAAGCAGAAATTTGAAACATTAATGACAATGTTTTTAATGTTTTACCTCCGTTGTTACTTCAATTTTGGTGTCAGTTTTCTGTTTCTGTTTTCTTTCGTTTGTTTACTCACTTTATCGATGTGATAATCACTATTAACATTCTCCATATTTTCTTGATTTATTAGTTGGATATTCTAGTGTTACGTCACAGGTTTGTAGACAAAACAATCAGGAAATCAACACAAAAATGGTTTCAACCTTTTACATTCATTTTGCGGAAGTTGAATTGTTTTCCTAATGTTGTCATGGAGTAGGTTGAGTTGGTGTTTGTTTCTTTTTTCCCTAACTTTCTCTTCATTGGCTTACTAGTCTTTTTGAAAAAAAGTTAACTCAGTTCGATAATAAGTATGAAGAAAATAATCACTTGCTCGCCTTTTCTGTAATGAAGTGATTTACATTGTACCCTTTTTTGAAGTTATTTATAATGTTAAAGGTGGTCCCTTGTTTTACTTATCTTGTGGCTAGGAATAGTCAGTCAGTAGTACTGTTAAAATATTGAATTCTGAAAGTATTAGTATTACGGGAAGGACACGTAACGAAAATTCTTGTTCTGACACATTCACAGTGTGTGTTTCTGCAGTTAGTTCTTGTGTTTTAGTGTATTTTTTAATGTTTGAGTGTTAAGGAGGTATTCTGGTAATATTTATTTTCGTTGCTTTATGTTTATTCTTGTTGTACTTCTTGAATGTTGGCTTATTTACTAATAGTGCTTCTCTTTTTCAGCCAGTTTGCTCAAATCATACAACTTATAGTAAAATGTTATTTATCGAAGGAAATTAACAAAAAAAGAAATAAAACTATATTTTCAGAATTTTTAGTTCCAAAAAAGTAATCAGTGTTCTTATTGCTTTTTTCTGCTGACATGGAGTGGTGATAGCCAAAAAGCTAGCGAGCAGTAAAATATTATAGTTTTCATCTAGATTTCGTCGAAGGCCTCGATGAACTCTTCTGAAGAGTCACACATTAGGTTGGAATGTTTCCGGTGCTCCTTGATTGCATTGGTTTTTCTACCTTATATCTGTTTGAAATGAAATGTGGCATGAAATTATTCAATTCGTCGAATAGTACCCAGTTAAGCTTGTGTTTTAGATGAAACTTTGTCTATGAAGATGAAATAAGAGTGAATATCCAGTGTTCATACTTTTAATCACCTGGTGATATTTTTGAACGGAACTAATGCGTGTCATTTCAGATGGACAGACTTTGTGAATGTACTACTCGTTAATGCCTCAATTTTTAACCCAACAGGTAACACTCAGTCAAAGCAATACTGTAGGAATTCATCTAACAAAAAGAGACAGTTAATTCTGTTCGCAAATGCTAACGGAGAAGTTAGAAATCTATAGTCAGGTAGTATGTGTTGCCTATGAGGTGTGTTAGGAAGAGGCAAAACACGCAATTATCAGGTCATTATCATGCCTCAGTCAAGTTATTATCGCGTTATTAACCAGTCGTTGACATGCAATTGTTCCTGCTTCTGATTGGACGCTTGCACAATTCAAACTCTCAACCGGATTGGTTGATTTCCAGTCTATCTTATTTTCTGTATACATACAGTCACTTTTGTCATAATAAATGAACCTGGTTTTACCGCTGATTCTCGCGTGTTCTGCTTTACCAGTTAAGTGGGCACTGGTCAGTAGTTAAGCAGTGACCTCGTGACAAAGATCTAGCATCATAACAATTGGCGACGGGGTTTCGAATCCATTGCAGTTCAATACAGTCAAATAAAACCCAGATCATCCAGTGTACATCCAGCCTGTCTTCCAAATGACAATTTCATTTGAACAAATGCAACTTCTCCTTCATCAACAACAGCAACAGTTTGAAGCTTGCCAGCTCAGCTTGATTGAAAAACTTACAAAGCAGTTTTCAATTCAAAATCTCGGCAGTTCCAACTCAGAGAAAACCGAATCTATTGGGAGTTCAGTTGTAGAGTTCAATTTCGAACCTTCAACAGGCGTGACGTTTGAAGCTTGGTTTCGACGTTATGAAGATCTGTTCCGGGTTGAATGCGCTCACCTAGATGATTCGGCCAAAGTGAGACTACTCCTTCGGAAACTTGGTCCAGCCGAACATAACAAATATGTCAATCATATTCTACCAAAGAACTCCAGAGAACTCAACTTTGAAGAAACCGTTCAAACGTTAACCAATATTTTCGGTGAACAGTTATCTCTCTTCAGTATCCGTTACAATTGTTTCAAGATATCCAAAGATCCAGGAGATGATATTCTCACCTATGCTGGTAAGGTGAATCGTGAATGCGAGCGATCGAAAATTCGATCACTTACGGATGACCAGTTTAAATGCCTGATCTTTGTCTGCGGTCTCAAATCTTCAGTTGACAGTGATATTCGTACCCGAATCCTTGCAGAGATTGAACGCAAACCGGACATGACTTTACAGGAGGTAACTGCTGAGTGCCAGCGAATCATCAATCTAAAGCATGACACGAAGTTGATTGAGGACGGTCAAGTTCATGAATTTACTTCTGTTCAGGCTGTCAAGTCAAACATTTTTTTTTTTTTTTTTTTCAAGCCTCCCACAAATTGTTGGTTTTGTGGATCGTGGCATTTTGGTAAATTTTGCCCGTATAAAAGACATAAATGCAGTATCTGTAACAAGTATGGTCACAAGGAAGGATTTTGTCCCCCAGTGAAACCTAGATCAATCCGATCTCACAATACGATGGCACAGTCACGAAAGTTTCGATCTCGGTCGACGAAACCTCAAATCAGCAGTATGTTCGCTACCTTCAAAGTTGACTTCGAGTCAAAAAGAAAGTTTGTCACACTTTCTATCAACCAGAAGCCAGTTCGACTACAGTTAGATACTGCTTCTGATATCACAATCATATCTCCCCAGACGTGGCGGGCACTCGGGTGTCCACCTTATCAGAGAACGGAGCATACTGCAAGAAACGCGTCGGGTGACGTAATGAAATTATCTGGCCAGATTGAATGCGACGTAACTTTCCGGTCGACCTCGTTCCAAGGAACATGCTACATCACCAATCGTCATGATTTGAACTTGCTTGGTATTGACTGGATCGAAAAGATGAAACTCTGGGATGTCCCACTGAACTCAGTTTGTTCCAATGTACAGTGCTCAGATAGTCCTACCAACATGTTGATGCATCCGAACTCGACCGCAAAGTTCATCAGTCATCTTCGCACCAAACACGCTGCCGTTTTTCAAGAGTCTTTGGGTTGCTGTACCGTACAAAAAGCCAGACTATACCTCAAACCTGATGCCAAACCAGTTTTTAGACCAAAACGCCCAGTACCGTATGCCGCATTATCGTCCCTTGATGCAGAGCTGGATCGTTTAGAAAAGTTGAACGTAATCAAGCCAGTCGATTACTCATCCTGGGCAGCCCCCATAGTGGTTGTCAAGAAAGCAAACGGTACCATCAGACTTTGTGCTGATTTCTCAACAGGACTCAATAATGCCCTTGAAGATCAACCGTATCCACTACCAGTACCGCAAGATCTATTTGTCAAACTGAATGGCGGTAAATACTTCAGTAAACTTGATCTAGCTGAGGCATACCTACAGATCGAGGTCGAAGATGATTCTAAAGAGCTTCTGACAATCAACACTCACAAAGGACTGTATCAGTTCCAGCGACTTCCATATGGTGTTAAACCTGCTCCTGCTATATTCCAACAGATAATGGATGCAATATTAGCTGGTGTATCGGGAGTGGCCGTTTACCTCGATGATATCATAGTCACAGGAGAAACTCAATTCGAACTCTTCAATCGGTTGGATAAAGTCCTGACAATACTCAGTGATTCCGGTTTCCATTTACGTCCGGATAAGTGCAATTTTTTCATGACTTCAGTGAAGTACCTGGGATTCATTTTTGACAAAGATGGTCGCAAACCCGACCCCTCCAGTGTGTCAGCAATTCAACAGATGCCTGCCCCTAATAATCTCAGTACGTTGCAGTCCTTCCTGGGGATGATCAGTTACTATAGTGCGTTCCTGCCAGATTTACATCGTCTCAGGGCCCCAATGAATCAGTTGCTCATGAAGAATGCTAAATGGAACTGGTCAGAAGAATGCCAACAAGCTTTCATCAAGGTCAAGAAATTACTCCAGTCTGACCTGCTGTTAACACATTACAATCCAAAGCTGGATATAACATTAGCTGCAGATGCGTCCAACTATGGTATTGGCGCTGTCATTTCACATGTGTTTCCAGACGGTGTTGAAAAGCCAATAGCATATGCATCGCGAACCTTGACAAAGGTAGAGCAGAATTACAGTCAGGTCGAAAAGGAAGGATTAGCGCTCGTGTTTGGGATTCAAAAGTTCCACAAAATGCTGCTTGGCCGAAAGTTCACACTTTTTACTGATCACAAACCACTATTATCGATTTTTGGCTCCAAGAAAGGTATTCCAGTCTATACAGCCAATCGACTCCAACGATGGGCGACTATGCTACTAGGATACGACTTTCAGATCAAGTACAAATCTACAAAAGATTTCGGGAATGCAGATGTCCTCTCGCGTTTACTCAGCTATAACAAGCCCGCAAAGGAGGACGCTGTGATCGCCGGCGTTTCTGTCGATGAAGACGTGTGCCACGTATTGATGACGGCAATAAACACTTTACCTGTCTCAGCCGACATGGTTCAACGAGAGACGCAGCGTGACCCGACATTACAGTCAGTTCAACAGTATCTGCGTTGTGGCTGGCCCTCGCGTATTGATTGTCCAGATTTAAAACAGTTCTATCAACGACGACATTCGTTATCCCTGGTCAATGACTGCATTATGTTTGGCGAACGTGTGGTCGTGCCTCGAAGTCTCCAACAAAAAGTCATGAGTCAACTACATTTTACGCATCCTGGTATTGGCCGTATGAAATCGTTGGCACGCTGTTACGTCTACTGGCCAAATATCGATCGTGAATTAGAAGTGATGGTTCGCTCATGTTCTCGCTG